TTATACTTTTCACCCCTCATAAAGAGACAAGCCCCCTTCCCCAATCCACCGCCTCCCCACCCCCGATATCATACATATCTATTACAATTCCATTGACTTTATTCCCACACTATACTCCACAGCCCATGACTATATATGTATTAAATTATTGACATATATTATTCAACAGCAGGTTCAGATGTGCAGTGCAGTGGTCACGCCTCTACACCGTCCATGAAGTGGTCTCCCTAAGAAGACATGAGTTCCTCTGGCCCCCTAAAAAACATTTACAACATTATTGATTATATTCCCCAAACTGTCTTTTCTATCCCTGAGGCCATATTGTAGCTACCAATTTATGTTGTCTCGTCCCTTCCCCTTCTCCTTCATCCCCACCCCCCTCCCATCTAGCAACCATCAGTTTTTCTTCTGTGTCTCTGAGACCATTTCTGTTTACATTGCTCGTTTATTTAGTTAATAATTTAGATTCCACATATAAGTGAGAGCATATGGTATTTGTCGTTCTCTGACTGACTTATTTCACTTAGCATAATGTTCTCTAGGTCCATCCATATCATTGCAAATGGTACGATTTCCTTCTTCTTTATAGCTGAGTAATACTCCATTGTATAAATGTACCATAGTTTCTTAATCCAGTCATTTACCGATGGGCATTTCGATTGTTTCCAAGTCTTGGCTATTGTACGTAGCGCTGCAATGAACATAGCGGTGCATATATTTTTTTGAATTAGTGTCTTGGGTTTCTCTGGATAAATACCTAAGAGTGGAATTGCTGGGTCATAAAGTAGTTCTGTTTCCAGTTTTTTGAGATACTTCCATACTGATTTCCATAGTGGCTGCACCAATCTGCAGTCCCACCAACAATGCATCAGGGTTCCCTTTTCCCCACAACCTCGCCAGCACTTGTTGTTTGTTGATTTATTGATGATAGCTGTTCTGACTGGAGTGAGGTGGCATCTCATTGTGGTTTTTATTTGCATTTCTCTAATGATAAGTGAGGTTGAACATTTTTTTATATGCCTGCTGGCCATCTGTATGTCCTCTTTAGAGAAATGCGTCTTCATATCCTCTGCTCATTTTTTAATTGGGTTGTTTGTTTTTTTGGTGTTGAGTTGAATGAGTATTTTATAAATTTTGGATATTAACCCCTTATCAGATATATCGTTGACAAATATCTTCTCCCACTCAGTAGGCTTCCTTTTTGTTTTATTGATGGTTTCCTTTGCTGTGAAAAAACTTGTAAGTTTCATGTAATCCCATATGTTCATTTTTTTCTTTTATTTCCCTTGCCCGTGGGGATATATCAGTAAAAATATTGCTCAGGGTAATGTCTGCAAATTTATTCCCTATGTTTTTTTCTAGGAGTTTTATGGTTTCAGATCTTACACTTAAGTCTTTAATCT